TTTTCCTCTTTTCTCTCCCCTTCCCTTTCTTCTATCTCATCCTTCCCCTTTTGTCCTTATTTTACCACTTTTTCTCTTCTTCCACTTATTCTTTCTAATAGCCATCTCTGCCTCAGCCATGCCCTTATCAATAATGGGGCAGATCCCAGCGTGACTTTAATATCTGGAATCATAGATGAAGTCCACTGATGACAGTTGCTCAGTACATTTACAAAACCCCTCCTCAGATCCTCTTGAGAATGGAAACATCCTAATGAGGTAGGTCACAGAGAGGATTTAGATTTGTGTAGCCTAATTCTTAGATGCAGGAGGAATTTTATTCTCTCTACTTGTTTAAATAGAAGATGCTCTAATTGTTTAAAGGGGAAAAGATTGGACAAGGTATGGGGGGGAGGGGTGAATAAGCAGTGGTCAAGTTCATTGTTTTATTCCATCTATATGCATCTTTATTTTTCACATCGTTAGCACTTGATTACAAATATTTGCCCATAAGTCTAAGAGTTCCCAATGTGATGTATATACCAGGGCAGATGTGATTTTTTAAAAATGGAGCTAAGTTGCCTGTGTGAAACTTGGAAATCTCAATGCCTGTGCTGACAAATATCCTGACAAGTAAATACTACACTTACTCAGTATTACATAGTGATTTCATTTGCACAAAACCTCAGAATGTTCTGCCACTTCAGTCAAATGTCTGGGGCACTGGGGAAAGGAAGAACGTGTTTATCTTGATCTCCAAAAAGGGATTTAAGGGAGAGAGAAAGCGGTATATTAGACTTTCATTGCCTGTCAGCTATGGTAAACCTGAGGTGTCTTCAGTACCTCTAGATAAGCAGCAGCAGAGGCCTTAGCATGTATATAAGACTGCTTTCATTTTTGCTTCTTATGTATCTCAAAAATTCTAAAGGCTATGTATGAAGCATCTTTGGTGGAGCCTTTAACAATTGAGTCTCTGCTGATCACTGGCTTTTATTTGATGTTCCTTAATTCTCAGGTCTGCCAACTGCAATGAATGAAGTGCTGGATGAGGCTTAACTTATATTGAGAGTTGATGATGATCCTCTTTCCTCTCAAATTCAGCCCTTCTTTCTCTGTGGGCATGGGGCAGGAGACCCTGAGATGGTATCCGCTCCTAATATTTCATGGTGCTGCTTTTCCACTTAGGCTTGGAGGGCACCAGAGTGGGGCCTCAGCACAGTCATCTCTGTTGGAATGGCTCCCATGTTTAAATGGTTACTGGTGCTTGCTGGCCAGATACTTACAAGTTTATTATCGTGCAGTAGAAAATGCAAGAGGAATAATGTGGAGAGGGTAACACAGCACACAGTTTGGCTGATATAGAAATACTTATGTCAACGTTTAAAAGATGGATGAATGAACCTCACCTTCATGAAAATATGTTGATGAGGGTTGTTTACCTCAAATTTTTTTGAACAAGGTTGGTAGGGTAACATATGGAGGAATGAAGCAGTTCTGTGTGTGTGGCTCTTTTCTTTGCCTTTGTAGATGCTGACCAGGGTTTGTGTAACTGCTCCGGCATGAGCATTTCAGAGTTAGGCAGAATAGATTTTGTCGTAGCCCGGATTCTGCTTCCTTGGTTGGAGCTTCTATTCCAAGTGAAGTATTCTAAAATCATTAAAACCACTTGAGTCTGTAACGACCCCTGTAAATCAGGAGCTATTGTGTGAGCCCTCATTCTCCCGGTGCATGCTCCAAACATACAGTCATTTGAGATGAACTGGAGGGGCCTGGCTTTCTCTTCACTGTTAAGTAGCTATGACTGTTAGCATTTGTTTGTGGTCAGTGGAGCAGGTTTCATTTCTGGTCTCCACCCCTCCACCCCACCCCCAGTAAAGCTGTTCAGTGAGAGCTATTTGGATACTTTTGTGGGTCTACCCTATAATTTTTGTCTTTAATTCCCAAATCAAGTGAATCTTCTCACATAACAAACATTTATTAGCCCAGAAATAATGTTCTTGGTTGTGTTAGGCCCTGGTTAGGTTTCTTTTTAAAACTAGAGAAGAAATATAGAAATACTGCTGCCCATGCAGAACAATGCCAAAATATCAAAACTCATGTTTCAGCTTGCAAGAGGGAAGACATGCTGAATTGCTGAACTCTTCTTCCTTCAAAGCTTGTCTCCCATTAGTTTGTAAACATACGGGGTGGGACAGGCACGTGGCAGAGTACTTGGAGGTAGCCTGGTTCTGGATGCTGTCTTTCTCCTTGAAATGAGGTGGAAAATGTTCTGAGGAGGGTGTATTTACAGCCCTGGTCTGCTTGGGGTCCTTTCCTTTTCCTGAGATTGGTCTTTCATCAGTCCATTACTAATTTTGGAGATGTGTAAGATCTTAAGTGGTTAGAGATGATCAAGTACGAGAGGCAGTGTTTCATAGGAAGGAGACGAGTGCCTCTGAGTAGAAAACGGCCCCTGCTCTCCTTTGCAGCAGGGAGCACTTGGCTCCTGACATACATTGTGAATTTTAGACATTCGGGGTCAGCCCAGTGTCTCCTTTTTATTCCTTTTCTCCTTTTCTGATTTTATTTTAATAATTAAAAATACTGCTGATCACACTGAATGACTTCTACTAGAGAGGCATTCTGTCCCAGAAGGACCAGTTGTGGGCCATCGGGTTTATGACGTCCATAAAACCAGAGCCAGATCAGAGCGTGGCCTCTGTGAGTGACAGGGTTCCTGCCTCCACCAGGGTCCCTCATCAACTGACTGCTTTGGGTATTTGTTTTGCTTTTTTCTTTCTGTTTTGTTTCGTGATGCATGTGTGAGTGTGCATGTGTGCGCACATTTAAAGATATAAATGAAACAGGTATGTAATGCCCTCTGCCTGTTAGAGAGACTAAAGCCATAAAAATAACAAACGGCGTGTATTTGCTAGAATGTCAAAGTTATGAGTTTATTTTGTAATGATGTGCTCCTGCCTTCATGAGGTAAACTGGCCGTGGCGGAGGTGTTATTAGTAATATGGACTCAGTGGAGCAGAAAGCCGAGTGACCGAGAGATCAGTGTATCAGTCAGGGAGAGGGCAAATGGAAAGAGGCAGCAGGAGAATGAGAAAAGAGCTGCAGCCTGGGCTGAGATTAAAGGCAGACGCGAGGAGGAGGGGAGCCCAGTGGTCAGATACGGTCTGCCCTGTTCCCAGGGCTCCTTCAGAGGAGCTGCCAGCGTGTGGCTCAGCTTGGGGCTGCCTATAAAGGCTTGTTCCCTGCATTTCCTTATCAAGGAAAACAGTAATCTGAGAGCAATTTCACCTTCCTTATTCCTTTCAGAAAAGTCACTTCTGCCCTTCCTAGCTAAAGTTAAATGGAACCAAAACCATCTGGGTCACACTGGGGTTATTACTTTGGTCACCAACTTTCTCTGCCTTTGGATGGCTGGAACCTTTCAAGGCTTCTAACAGAAAGGAGCAAAACAGTAAAATACAGGTAGAATGGTACTGTCTTTAATTTATTAGGTTCTCCCCAAAGATTGGAGATGAATAAAAGTTAGCAAGAGAAAGAAAGATCCTGGTTGATTTTTTGAAAAGGAGGAGGGGAGAAGGAAAGGAAAGGTAGAGGACAGCGAAAGCTCCACTACTGTCGAGCGCTTCCTGGGGCTCCCCCGGGTGACGGGCAATTACTCCACACTCAGCGGTTGGCGGTACTCAGTGATCAGGCTGCCCAGCTTCCATCTGCTGGGTCAGAAAACCTCCCTCCTTGAAAGAAATTATTAACTAGTCTTCAAGGGAAAAAGAAACCCTACAATTTCTAAGTCCAAGAATATTCTTTCTTTTTTCTTCTTTAAAGGAAACTTTGTAGTTTCCAATTGCAGATGCCTTTCGACCTTACAAGGGTTAAACTCCTCCATGGATTCACAGGAGATTGAGTCCCTGAATTCCCTCAAGCCTTGGGAGGGAAAAAAGGAGGGGAAGCGGGCTTGGGTATAAATCACCGCCATGCACCCAGCACACAAAGAGGACTTTACACTCAGAGGTTCGTGTGTGTTGTGAGTCGCTTCAGGGTTTGGCCAGACTTAGGGCCTGTGTGTGGGGACAAGCTTTAAAAGTCAAATTTAAGGTGAAAAAAAATCCTTTTTTTTTTTTTTTTTTTAAAAAAAAAGAAAGAAATGAAGAGCCCAAACCCCACAGCATTTCTTTAACTGAGCCTTGTCAGTAGAGACTGTCAAAAGAAAAGCTTGTTACCTTTGGTGTTTATATGCATGGCCGCTCTGCCAGGCCTGCAGGTGATGAGGTAGCCCTGTGTCTCAGGCTTCTAATCTCAGCCACCACTGTAGTTTCAGCTGAGAGCTGAAGTATGCTGAGGGTACTCGTGGCGACTAGCAAACAGAGAGGCATGCTGGCTTGCTTGCTTTTTAAAAAAAAAAAAAAACTGTGATTTGGGTGAAAGTTTACAGAGAAAATTTTTTCCATTCAAGAGTTCATACACATTTTGTTTCATGACATTGATTGCAATCCCCGTAATGTATTAGCTCTCTTCTCACTTCATCCCTGTGGTTACCGTTTCCCTATGTCCTCCTATCCTGTGTATTCCTGCCCTCTGAGTTGTCTTCTTGTACAAATGCTGCCCTTCTGATCTCCTGTGGTTGATTGTTCTAAGGATTATACCTACCTGGTATAAATGTTCACCTTACATGTCTGTCTCTTGTTTGGCTGGAAGCCACAGGAGTGAGTTCAATTCCAGCCCAAAGAGTAACTAGGGGCCATAGTCTCAGGGGTTTCACTAGTCTCTATAAGATCAGTAAACCTGGTCTTTTTTATGATTTGGAGCTTTGAGGCATGCTGGCCTTTAAATTGCAATTATGTATGCAATTGTTAAAGCCCTTTATTTCTAGAGTTTTCTCTTTAGGATGATTATCTAGATATTCTCCTAAAACAATTCACAGAGGTTGGAATCTCTGTCTTGTGGAGAAAAGAATCCGTGTTAGTGTGAATTAGGAAATAGACTTTGTAGAGACAAATGTCCTTCTTTTGATCATTTTTCTCTAGGTCCTCGGGCGGGAAGTATACACCTCCAATAACCAGCTTGGGGGCATCCAGATCATGCACAACAATGGGGTGACCCACAGCACAGTCTGTGATGACTTTGAAGGAGTTTTCACTATTCTCCATTGGCTGTCTTACATGCCGAAGGTGAGCACTTCCTGTCTGGCACTGATGTTGCCCACAGATATGGTTGTTTTCCACCACGGCTCACATCCTCCATGTTTGAGATCTCATCTTCAGGATAAAGTAGAGGACTTTTTTGTTTTAATGAAATATTTCTTTGAAAGCTATTGATTTCTCTTTTTCTTAAGGCCATATTTTGCCTTCTCTCTTTAAAATGCCTTTAGATTCCTTCAGAAACTATATATCCGACAAGAATCTGACAAACCAAAATACATATAAAACGTTGATGATTTAACAAAAAGACAAAATAATCCAATCATTAATGGTCACATGGTTTGAATAGACATTTCACCAAAGAGAGCATTCACATGGTCACCAAACACATGAAAAGTTGCTTCAGCATCATTAGCTATCAGAGAGATGCAAAACAAAACCACAATAAGATACCATTTCACTCCCCCTAGGATGGCTAAGTTAAAAACAGAAAATAACAAATGTTGGCAAGGATATGGAGAAATTGGAACCAGTATCCATTCTGGTAGAAATGCAAAAAGGTACAGCTGTTATTCAAAATAGTGTGTTGGTTCCTCAAAAAATTAAAAACAAAAACATCATATGACCCAGCAATTCCTCTTTTATGTATATGCCCAAAAGACTTGAAAGCAGAGACCCAAACAGAGACTTATATACCAGTATTCATTGTGGCACTATTTGCAATAACCACAAGGTAAAAACACCTTAAATGCCCATCAAGAGAAGAATAGATAAAGAAAGTGTGGTACATACATGCAATGGAATACTAGTGAGCCAACGGGAAAATGAAAGCTTGATACATGCCACAGTGTGGGTGGAACTTAAAGACATTATGCTGAGCAAAATAAGCCCATCACAAAAGAACGAATGTATGACCACACTTACATAAAAGAAAAAGTAAATGTATAGAGACCAAGATTTTTTAGTGGTTACAAGGGATGGGAGGGAGGAGGAAAAGGAAGGTTAATGATGATAGAAAAATTCCATTGATTAAGGGTAGGATTGCACAGCTGACTATTGTAGTTACTGTCAATAAATTGTATACCTGTTAAAAGTAGAATTTACAAAACTGGATGATAGATACATTTATAACAATGACCAAATAATAATAGCACTGTTAAGGCTGCTTATGTACAACAAAACACCTCATGGGATTTGGTTTTTTGGTTTGGAGGTTCAGGGTCATGGTTTCATGGGACATCTTGGTTAATGGCCTAATAACATGTTTAATGATTCTGTTCTACATTCTAATTTGTTACATAGTACCTGGGGTCTTAAAAGCTTGTAAGCAGCTCTCTAAGGTACAACAGTTGGTCTCTATTCCTCAACAGGAGAGTCAAGAATAAGAGGAGGATATGGAATGTCTGGTTCATTGCCTTCATGAACATTTGCCTCCTTTGCCACGACACTAGAAGTGCATGGTGCTGGCTATCATTTCTGAACATTTTGGTCCAGGATTCAATAGAAGGATCCTCAACAAAAGGGGGGAAATCCAGAAGAGAATTTCAAATTCTCATAGGCTCTAGACTTTCTGGAACCATGGAGGGTAATGAACCCTGAAAGTACTGCCCTGAGATAATCTTTAAACCTTAAACCAAAAGTATCCCCCGAAGTAATCTTAAAACCAAACAGTAGTTTAGCTTTACTAGTAAAGAAGGTCTGCCTTGAGCATCTATTTTCTTTTAAGATCTGTATCGGATCAAATTGACAACAGCAACTCAAAAGACTAGATGGGAACCTCAGGGAACAGTGAGTTTATGTTAATGAAAGATGAACAACTCAGAAAAGGGAGATGAGAATGATTGCACAACTCAGTGTAATCAGTGTCACTAAGTTGTACATGTAGAAACTGTTGAATTGGTGTATGCTTCACTGTATATATTCTCAACAACAACAAAATAAATAAAATTTAGGGGAAAAAAATGTATTTGGATTTCATTCATTAGGCCTTTTCTAATGTCTTCTGACCATGGAAGCCTTCATGGCCTATCTGGGCTCAGATCCCAGCAGCCTGGTAAGGAATTCTCCCCATTGTGGGTTTTTTTCTTTTGTAAAAGCCAAACATTCCCCCCCCCCAACAGGAAGTTTTTTAGTAAACATGAGCATACTGAATGAAACCAAGAATCACAATGTAACACTTTGTGCCAGGCTCCTAAAAGAAACTGGAGACCTGTGACAAGTTCCTGAGGGCTTGGCAGGCAATTGAAATGCTTCCAGGTGATGATTGGGACTATAGGGTATAATTCCACATGTGGACCCTGCCCTCTTTGTCAGGAACTGTTGTTGCTGAGTTGTAGTATAGGACTGTTGTTCACTGATTGCTGTACTCTTTCCTTCCCAAACTCCTTTTAGAGCGTGCACAGTTCAGTTCCTCTCCTGAACTCCAAGGATCCTATAGATAGAATCATCGAGTTTGTTCCCTCAAAGGCCCCATATGATCCTCGATGGATGCTAGCCGGCCGTCCTCACCCAAGTATGTATATGACTGAGGTACCTGTGGTACCCTGACCCTTAAGCTTTTAGTCTTCTTATCTATCTATCACTATTCAGTTCCTATACAATAGCATGTGACAAAGAAAACAGAATTACTAAGTACCTAGATATTAAAAAAAAAAAGCTGAAAAACAGCTATCTGAAGCAAAAGGTGGGAAATCCATTATGAGCACATGATAATGAGATTCACAAATCAGCTGTTGAGTTGTAAGCAGCACAGTCACTTGCACATGTCTTCTGTTGATTCTTTGATCAAAGTACTTAACACTTAATGGTTCCAAGACATAAAGACCTGTCAGTGTTAGCCATAAAATCATAGAGTGGTGAGCCCAGAATCTTTGACCATGTAGTTCCTATAAGCAAATAGAAATTCATCAGGTCAGTTTTAGAAATGATCCTTACATAAGGAGTCTGACTAAACCCTCTCAGCAAACTACTGCTGAGTACCCCACCTGCACGTGCCTTTATTTTTGTGTAATATTGGTAATGATAATTGGTGTTTGTTTCCGTTATTAATGTTAGATTTTTCATAAAGAGATTGTCCTAAACTTTAAATTCTGTAAATATACACAGACATAACAGACCCTTCTTCCAGGTTCATTTAATATCTATCTCTTGTCCCATGGCCGATTTTACTAACCTAAAAAAAAAAAAGGGAAAAAGAAAAAACTTACCTCCATGTACATTCTCATTTATCAGCCCATTTGGTTGTTTTAACAAAACTTATCAGGAGGCTCTTTGGTGAAGCCTCAAATCTCCCTGCTACATTTTGAATCTTTTTTTTTTTCAACAACACAAACGGCAGCTCTACATGTAGACTTCACCAGATGGAACACACAGGAATCAGATTGACTACATCTGTGGCAAGA